CACTTTTAATATTCTGGGGAGACTATACAACTGTCAGAATATTAACCATTCGCCGGGTTGCCCGAAAAAAAAAATTTGAATGATTAAAAATATCAAAATATAAAAAAAATATAAAAATATTCGCCATAAAAAGGCGTTTGCATTGTTCAACTTTGCATTCTACTTTCAAGTAATCGCTTTCAACAAAGTTGGTCGCCCGCCAGCCAACATTCGCCTCGTGCGTAAACCTTTTAAGTGTGCAATTACATACATCGCGCCATTGACTAAACCGAGCTGTCGTGTGACGATTGGGCCTATGGATGCGGTTTGGCAATATTATATTGCATCAAAGCCTCATTCGGAGACACCAGGAGTGTGTTGTGGAGGACAATACCTAAATACCTTCGTTGGCTCATTTACCAAAACCATTGCATGCTTTACTTTACAGCGACTTGGCAGAATCAAGAGGTCTCCACGAATATCGACAAATATATTTCGGCATTTAAGAGAATTTCGTCTCTTTAGCCTACATTGAATTTCTGTAGTCCAACGATGCTCACACATTTTGTCTTGTTGGCGCCAGCGAATGAAGAACAAACATTTCTTCAAATTTAAAAAGTAAAAATTTCACTACTAACAATTTAAAAATGTTCTTAAAACTTGCAAAGATATTTGGAAAAGAAATATCACTGTTTTTGTTTTTAGGAGTATGGTGGGAGTGTCATTGATAAAATTAGAGCGAGAGAAAGTTTTTCTTACAAAACCTTTCATTATTGAATCATGATTAGCACTCATGATTCAATTATTAAAGGTTTTGTAAGTAGCTTTTTTCTAAAATTTGGCACTCCCACCCACAGGGATGGTTTTTGGAAGCAGAAGAAAAAGGGGAAGAATTCAATCACACTTCCTAAAATGGGAGCTAAATTCTATAAAAACGTGTGGATAATAGTGAATGGTGGTATTTTAAAACAAAAACGAATTTGATTTAATTATTTAATTTAAACAAGCTTATTTACATCGAATATAACCCCCTATTGTTATTAAAAATAAATATTTCTATGTTTATACCAAACTTGCGTACGTCAGATGGCGCATAACTCGAGAATGGATGGTCCACTTTCAGCTTTTTTTTTGTTGTATTTGTTTGCCAGTTGATGGACATGAAGAAGCTATTTGTTTGCGGAAAATATGCAATATTTATTAAACAAAAAAACGGCAAATAAAAAAATTTGGAGCTTACGTTTCTTTCGCGGTTATGGCTCGATTGTTTCGAATTCTTTGATGTCGCACTTTTTATGTTCTGGGGAAAATATTCAACACTGGCTTGCACAGCCGCAGTTGGCGATTGGTGCCGGACGAACTCAGAGCACGCAGCTACTGAACGACTGAGATAGGGAACGTGATCTACATCGTCAAATGAGAAGTGGCGTAATGGGGCTTTCGCACGAGGCGATTTTTCAGGCAACTTTTGCGTTCAACTCCCGCCGGGTTGCACGAAAAAAAATTTGAATGACTAAAAATATCAAAATATAAAAAAATATTAAAATATTCGCCATAAAAAGGCGTTTGTATTGTTCAACTTTGCATTCTACTTTCAGCTAATCGCTTTCAATAAAGTTGGTCGCCAGCCAACATTCGCCTCGTGCGTACACCTTTTAAGTGTGCAATTACATCGCGCCATTGACTAAACCGAGCTGTCGTGTGACGATTGGGCCTATGGATGCGGTTTGGCAATGTTATATTGCGTCAAAATCTCATTCGGAGACACCAGGATTGTGTCGTGGAGTACAATACCTAAATACCTTCGTTGGCTCATTGAACGCTTTACTTTACAGCGACTTGGCAGAATCAAGAGGTCTCCACGAATATCGACAAATACATTTCGGCATTTAAGGGAATTTCGTCTCTTAACATTGAATTTCTGTAGTCCAACGATTCTCACCCATTTTGTCTTGTTGGCGCCAGCGAATGCAGAACAAACATTTCTTCAAATTTAAAAAGTAAAAATTTCACTACTAACAATTTAAAAATGTTCTTAAAACTTGCAAAGAAATTTGGAAAAGAAATATCACTGTTTTTGTTTTTAGGAGTAGGGTGGGAGTGTCATTGATAAAATTAGAGCGAGAGAAAGTTTTTCTTACAAAACCTTTCATTATTGAATCATGATTAGCACTGATGTGTTTATAAAAACGAAAATAAACAGTTTGGTAGTTTCTAGAGCAGAGCAGATATATTTTTCATTAATCAAAGTTTTCAATTAGTAAGAAGAGGTAAAATATTACACCAACAAGGGGAAAGTGCTCAGTTTTATCCCATCGCCTGAACAAAAATGAGTATTTTAATAAGCACTTTTGTAATTAGTGATAATGATAAAATGAGCACTTATTTGATGCTCAGCTGTCTTGCAGGGAAATCTAATTAGAGCTAGCAAAGCTACTCCCCAGCAAAAAATCGGTAATCGCTTTTAGTGGTACCGTGTTCTAGAAGGCATAGCGTTATAATGCCTTCGAATTTTTTCGCTTCTTTTAGGCATTGCCAGTAAAGCAAAGTAGAATGTCCTACAATATTTTATTTATCTCGCTTCTTCGTTTCATTTCGGGAAATGCAAAGTAGAATGTCCTATAATATTTATTTTTTAATTCGTTTCTTTGCTTAATTTCCGGGAATGCAAAGTAGAATGTCCTACAATATTTTATTTGTTTCGCTTCTTTGCGTCATTTCAGGTAATGCAAAGTAGAATGTCCTACAATATTTTATTCGTTTCGCTTCTGTGCTTCATTTCGGGGAATGCAAAGTAGAATGTCCTACAATATTTTATTCGTTTCGCTTCTTTGCTTCATTTCGGGAAACGCAAAGTAAAATGTCCTACAATATTTTATTTGTTTCGCTTCTTTGCTTCATTTCGGGGAATGCAAAGTAGAATGCTGCATCGTAGTCAGCTGAAAAATGGAATGAATATCCAAAAATTCTTTTTCTACCGTTACTTTCTGTGGAAATTTGTCTCGCATAAAAATCATGTTTTGCTTTGTTCAATTTGCAGCGAAGTTGAAGTCAGTCAATGAAGTGACGTACAAGAGTGAGGAAGTACAATTTTAAGCTTAATTAAATATGCATGTATGTACATACCGATTTTAAAAAAAATCTAAATACCTAAATACATACATATGTACGCTGATTTATAAAAATTTTAATTATTTTAACCTTTTAAGACATTTTCTGATTTCACTTTAATATAAATAAGTATGTACTTATCTAGGCATTCTACATTAGTTTCTCTGTAAGGCATTCTTTGTTCGCTTCTCTGGATTCTGTTTATGCATGCGTTCTCCCTTCGTTTGAAGGTAATGCTGCGGGTAAGGGCTTACCTCCAATGACATGCCCATGTTAAAATAAGGCCTTCTTGAAGCGAAACGGTAAGCGATTCCCATCGCCTAGCTCGTTTCCACTTTCGTTTCTGTGGTAATCGTGTTTTTTGCTGGGTCGTTGATATCAAGCGAACTTTACTGATTGTCAAAAATTATGTGTTTGTTGTACATTTGTTCATGTTTGTCATTGTGCGTGTAATTTTCGAGAGGAGGTTTTGTGCCCCCGTTATCACCTTGTATGAATTCGTCTTTCCTTGGTATTAGGGACGTTAATTTTTCAGCTTTTTCCGATCCCGGGATTTTCGGTATGTCGTTATCACAATCCCGGGATCCCTGGCATAGTTCTGGGATTTAGATATTCATTACTTTTCAATAACTTAAATCGAAAGAATTGCTTTTATATTGCTTGAGAAGCACCTAAAATAAATAATAAATAAATGGGTTTGAAACCTACTTTTTTAATTAAAGTGGCATTTTTATTTTTTCTCCGTCTGACGTCAGGATTTATTTTAAAGGACTTTGTAATATCAAAGATATGGTTGATTCCAAAAATTATTTGAAGAATTCAATGCAATGTATAATAAAAATATGGGTACCAAATGCAAAAGGAAATTTCTTTAGAAATTAAACAAATTAAAATTTTTTGGATTCACACGGACGAATAGGTAATTTTTCAAGCTGATAAAGTTCGAAGGACGAAATTCGAGCATGTTATCGAGTTTATATAAGTCCTTAACATGTAATCTTTTCAAAAACAAATACTTCTAAATTTAAAGAATAACATGTTAAAGGACCTTTTCAATACTTACCAGTCCTTCTGCAACAAAAGCTTGAATCTGCTTAAATTCTGCAGAATTTCCTCTTTAATTTGATGTCCATACTTCTTCCCTAAGCACATTTCTCTGAATTTTTTAAATAATTTTTGAATTACTGACGCCAGAATGAAAAACTAAAAGCGCTTCGCGAATATGTTGACATTTATAAAAAAATATTAACTATTTAATAAAAAAAGAAATATACCCAATACTGGTCAAGAAAAGTAGTTTCTATTATTTTCATCAGTGCAAATTACAAATCCCGAAAATCTCGGGATTATTTGCTAAGAATCCCGGGATTTTTGGGACCTCGAAACAGACGGGATCCCGGGATGCACTTAGTTTTTACTCAGATCTATGAAATGATTTCGTGCATTGGACTACGCATAAACGTGATAATGGTGCGTATAATTTATAAGGTAATGCTATGTTTTTATACTCTTTCTACCACATGAATATATGAATTCGTGATAAGAATATATGAATTCGCCTTGGAAGATAGAAAGCGGGTAAGAATAAATGCCGAACAAAGGAATTTGTCTTCTTTCAACTTAAATAAATGCATTTTGCAAGCAAAACCTCAAGCGTTACTTATTGCCTTGGTTATGGCGAATTCGTAAGGATATATTGATTGCATTATAAACATTTGCATTTATTTGCTAAACATACAATTACTTCCATTACAACCCGGTCCTATGGATGCTAGAAGCGCGAATTCATATAAGGTGGTGTTACCGGAAAAGGAATAAATAAATTATATGTATATCTGAAAATTAGTAAGATGAAATGAAATTATTGTTTGATTTCTAACCAAACCTATGTATGTAACTCAATCGCCTAATGGTTTGCCGAACCGTAAACATATGCTTTATACGGCTTATTATGTCGATTGCGCCAACCATAATTTAAACTGGGCCATGCATGCAAAATAACACTTATAAAAAACCGCATTTTCACCATGAAAGAAAATGTAAATTTATTCCGGCAGTCTACAAAAGCAGCTCAGGTGTTAAAAAATCGGATAAAAAGTGTTGTCCAACTGCAAAACAAACACGTCTCCTAAAGTTTTGCGAAACACGTTAGATGGAACACTTAACTCCCTTAGTCTGCTTTTTGACTTATATGAACACATTTGCTTCGCCTCATATGTTAATCACTTCAATAAGACAATCCCAATTTGTAGTTGCACTTACCACGACTAAGCCTATTTTTGCATTAACGAAGGCTCTCAGTGTGCCACTGCACGAAAAGGAGTGTGGTTTCAGCCGCTGTGTAGATTACGTCAAATATGTGTATACAGAACTAACCGATATGCGACAAAATGCAGAAGAAAACCTTAAAAGAATCTTCAAATTAGCTGAGGAGGAAGCAAATAAGGCTGGTCTTATCTTAACTAAAAGTGTGCCACGTCGAGTATATCGTACAAATTACGACGGAAGCGTAGAAACCCCTTTTTTCGTTACCCAATTTTTATTCCCATACTTGATCATTATTTGGATCAAATAAATTTGAGATTTGTCAATCAAAAAAAAACGACTCAAAAATATTCAGAACATCTTGCCAAAGAAAATTCTTAAGTTGGACCCTAGTAGTTTCTAACAAAAGGACTGGCTAGATGTCTATCAAACAGCGACAGACGATTTCATTGCTGAATTTACAATGTGGTGCAGGTGTACCTTTTTTTCTTCAAAACTTGATTTTTAACGATGGCCTTTCTTTCAGGTACTGGTCTAACATTAAAAAAAGAGCTACCTGAGACTTTTATTGACACCTTGAATCAGGGTGATAAAAGTCTTTATCCGACCATTTTTTAGATTTGAAAATAGGTTAACACTTCGAAGGTTGAAGACCTGTTTGCGCAGTAGCATTGGGCAGGAGTGATTGGTTTGGTTGGCGCTCCTAAACGTACTGGATCTGCAGGTTAATCCTCAGCAAGTGCTAGATGAACTGGCAAAAAAAAAACCAATGAGATTCCATTTTCAATTTAAAAATAATGTATAAAATAAATATACTTAATATAATAAAAATAATAATTTTCCTAAACAGAGTTGCAAATTGATTTTTATCAGTGCGGCAGTAATGCCGCTTTTATTAGATACGTGTCTCGAACAGGCCCAATGCTTTCATTAGGTTATTTAAGACGGAAATGGAGTAGCGGCCGCTGCCGTGTAGTGGGAAGCAGTGCCCGCTTTACTCCGCAGGTCCTGGGTTCAAGCCCTGGTCAAAGCAACATCGCAAAAAATATAGAAAAAACGTTTTTTCTTAACAGCGGTCGTCCCTCGGCAGGCAATGGCAAATCTCCGAGTATATTTCTGCCATGAAAAACAGCTTCTCATAAAAATACAATCGCCGGTCGGAGTCGGTGTAAAACTGTAGGTCCCTCCGCTTTGTGTGACAACATCAAGGCGCACGCCACAATTTGGAGGAGAAGCTCGGCCAAACACTAACATATGTGTAAGCGTCAATCTAAATCTAATCCATTTATAAACTATTGCTGTTTTTTCATAATATTTTTTTATAAAACGGCATCAAGCTCAATGAAAATTGCTAAATAATAATTTTTAATAATTTTCATTTAAAATATAATTCAATCTATAATAGGAACCACATAAATAAAAGTTTCAAACCTTGCACAAATTCAAAAAAATTAACTGAACTAAAAAAAAGTGTCATCAAAATTTCAAAATTTTTAATTAGAATATTAAAAAATTTTCGTGTATTCAAGCTTCAAAAAAATTTCATCAAAATTTTCATGTATGCAGTTTTTAGCGCATCCTATTTTAGCCTAAATGACATTGATTTTTTAAAATTATTTTTCTGCAGGGTGTTGCGCATTTTCTTCCATATAACATGATCAGAATCTATTTTATTATGAAGAAAAATCCGCAACACCCTCCACAAAAAAAAATCTAAGAAATCAACAATAATTTTTAGCGACTTGAAACTTGCACTCCATTACGCTAAAATTGAATGCGCTAAAAATCTGATTAAATTTTTAAAATTTTGATGAAAATATTTTGAAATTTGAATACAATTTTAAATTTGTGCACGCTTTGAAACTTTTATTTAGGTTGTTTCTGTTATAGATTGAATTATGTTTTAAATGGAAATTATTAAAAATAAATAAATGAACATAAGTTGCAAACAATATCACTTTGTGGTAATTCGTGGTAATTGATTGATATGGATAAAAATTTAATTACAGTTTTATTTTTACTCAAAAAGTACGACCAAGCGGGACCTTATAGATTACTTACATTAAGGTCATTTAGATCCGTTTGCATTCTTGATTGTTTGTTAACTATGTCGGAATAGTGATCTTTAAATTTATCCATGTCAGTCACTATCGCTTCAATTTTCGCTCCGAAGTCTGCCACTATTTTTTCTTCCTTGGCATAATTTTGCTGAGTATCTGCGAATGCTCTATATTTTATGAAATTAGTTCGCAACTTTTCTACTCTTTTTTCCAATTCATATAGTCGAATAGTAGCCGCTGTCTGATTTCTTTCCAATAAAGTGGATAATTCGTGCCATTTCTGAAGAGTATCTGGCAAATCCTGATTCATGCGAGCAACTAAAATATCATGAAAAATGTATGGTGTTAAAAGAGAAATATTAATAGGAAATTCAGGTACTATAAGTATACAAATCTAATGTCCGCTGTCCCAATCAATTTTGAAAATTAATCAGATTGTCAAAATTTAAAATAGGAAAATTGTCAAACAAAACTATTATTTTTTAATTTCAACACTCTGAGAAATTTAAAATTGATTGGTTATAGTTAATTTATGAGAATTACGTAAGCCTTTTACCTATGTACATATGTATGAATGTATGTATATGCAAGTATTTACTCAGAACAAAATCAATGTGCCGAACTGAACGGAGAACCGTACTTCAGCACCCTCTCCGGCAAAAATGTTTTGAGAGCAAATAAAAAGTTTTCCAGACAAGAAAGGTGAACCCGCCTTTACAGCTGATATACAATGCCGGCGAACGGCGAGCACACCACAGTGAAATTCGCACTGTCAAAATTAGAACACCCGCAAGCATATGAAATTGAACACAGTAAAGCGAAATACGAAGTTCGCTCGGCGGCGTTTCATGGCGATAGATATATTTCTATCGCCCTGCTGGGCGATGACATCTGTGCGTGCTTTAAAAAAAAACAACACAAACACGAATTATTTTTGTTGTTTGAAAAATATAGTTGTGGATTCGTTAAATCTGGCTTGAAACAAAATAAATAATAATAATCTTTCTTTCTGTCGGCCGCTGTGGTGTAGTGGTAAGCAGTGCGCGCTTCCACTCCACAATACCTGGGTTCAAGCCCTGGTCAAAGCAACATCGCAAAACAATATAGAAAAAAGGTTTTTTCTTAACAGTGATCGTCCCTCGGCAGGCAATGGCAAAAGTCCGAGTGTATTTCTGCCATGAAAAACAGCTTCTCATAAAAATACAATCGCCGTTCGGAGTCGGCGTAAAACTGTAGGTCCCTCCGCTTCGTGTGACAACATCAAGGCGCACGCCACAAATCGGAGGAGAAGCTCGGCCAAACACTAACATATGTGTAAGCGCCAATCTATTATTATTATTAATCTTTCTTTGTTTTACATTCATATTTGTTATCATTTCCTCATTTCTAAATATGGTTTAGTTTTTTCTAAATATGGTCACCCAAACTATAAAGGCGACCAGCTGGGCGAACGGTGAACGACAGCATCGCCCAATTCGGCGAAGTTTGCCGTTCGCCGGTATTATATTTCAAGCATGACTCAATTTGTTCAAATAAATTTAAGTGAAAGGTATGAAATTTTAAGAAAATTTCTTAGTTTTTATGCATTCTGAGGTGGGTTTTGTCGAAGGCTGAGGTGAGCTCAGCCGATTCAGAGTCAGGCGAAGGTCCCACTAGCCCCACCAAATAAAACACAATATTATCGTGTATTTAATTCGAGTACTCACATACACTGCGCTCACGATTCAGAGAATACAAAGGTTGCGCCCATTTCGGACCGCTATTCCTCTCTTAACGAATTTGACAGAATCACACTGGTGCAATTGTTGATTTTGAACTTAACAATTTATTTGTGTGTTATTTCTGCGAGATTTTAAGCGGTTTAAAGCGATTATTTAAACTTTGTAAACTTTTGTTAAAGCAAAATGAAGTGTGCAGTGGCAGATTGTGATAGTGAAAATCATAGGCAAGCGTGCGATATAAGCTTTCGTTTCCTATGGACGAAGCTCTCGTCAAAAAGTGGATGCAGTTCTGCCGGCGAGGAAGTGCATTATTGAATCCCAAATTGAGCTACGTGTGCATGAAGCACTTTTCTAGTGAAGATATAGAAAACAATTGACAGTTCGAAATGGGTAATTTATTGTGTATTTTCTAAATTGATACCATTTAATATTATTTTTGTAAACGCTTAGGATTTTCAAAACAAACTCCTTTTAAAGCGCGCTGCTGTGCCCAGCATTTACCCAGAGGATGGGGAAACCTCCCAGCGTGCCAAAAGCGTACAGCGCGAGCAGTACAAACAAATTGTCAGCGAGTTACTTCAGCAGAGTGAATATGCTGCAGTCAGTGAAGGTAACAATTTCAGTTTAAAGAAAGTTTCGACTTATATTTGCAAATAAGTTGTTATAGCCGAGGCGAATAACAGTGCCAACGTTGTTCCGATTGACGAAAATGTGGAGAACAAGGAAAATAGCCTAGTAGAGGAAAATCTTTCCGAGATCCACACGACTTCAACTTCTCGCAAAGTCTTCTACTACGACAGCAGTTTGGAGGAAGTTGAGGAGCTGGAAGCAAAACTGTAAGTTTGTAAAAACTATAAGGCAATATAAACATGTTGGCATATTCTTGTGTTTAAATTTTTTATTTTATGACACGTAGAGAAAGACTGAAGCGAGAAAACAAGACTCTGTTAATCGATAACAAAAAGAGGGACACAGAACTTGCGGCACTCCAGCAAGAGTACGACAAGCAGAATAAGAAGCACGACTATGAGGTGCAACAGCTAAAAAAGCGCTTGGAGGAGTACGAAAATATGTGTACAAATATGGAGAGCAAATTGCAGACCATTTTCACGAAGGGTCAGGTTGCGAAACTGAAGCACGGCATTAGGAAACCTACTTGGACTCAAGAAGACATCTCGCATTCCATCACGTTGTACGCCGCCAGTCCAAGAGCTTTTAAACTAATGTCCAAATAGGTTTTATTTAAGCTACCAGGCGTTCGCACGCTACAAAAATGGGCACAAAAAATACACGTATCCAGAGGTTTGATAAAGCCGGTATTTAAATTATTAAATGCTTCCACGCAAATTAATACTATTCAAAAGGTGTGTGTTTTCAGTTTCGACGAGATGGTCAGTCAGACTAACTGTTATGATACCTCGTCGGACTCAACACTGGAACCTGTCAGCTATATGCAGGTAGCGATGCTCAGAGGTAAATATGTATATCTTGCACAAAGGATTTATAAAAATTTAAATTTTTACATTCATTTTATTCGTCAGGACTGGTATCTAAATGGAAACAGCCGGTATTTTACGACTTCGACTGCAAAATGACAAACGACGTGCTTTGTAATATATTACAAAAAACTAAAGATTGCGGGTACAATGTTGTAGCGGTTGTGTGCGATCTTGGCGCACAAACAGGCCTCTGCTTAACGAGCTCGGAGTGCACGAAGACAGGCCGTGGTAACAGTGTTGCCAGAACTTTTCAGGGCGACCGGCTAGATTGAACAAAAAACGGCTAAAAACGGCTAAAATGTTTCAACCAGAATTAATTTTTTTTTTAAATACATAAACTACAATTAGAAAGAGTAGTAAATCCATTGAATTTTTTTTGGTTAATAAAGATTATTTATACGTAGCTAAGCTGTACACCACTTTATTTTTTCTTTAACAAAGGAAACTGTCGTTATACGTAGCTAAGCTTTACATCAGAAGTCATGTTTGTATTACTTAAATATAAAAACAGAGATAAATTACAAACTTATGGCGCTTTCTTTTCTATTAAACAATTTTGCCTTCTAATAAATAATGGATCATTTTCAGTAGGTTGCTTTTTGTCCCGCAAAATTGCTATATTAGCTGAGCGTATGACACTTTTGATTAGTCGGAGGGCAATATTTTGAGAAATGAACACGTAAAGCTGTGAAAGCAGAAGGTCGTTTAATTTATCGACATTCGTTGTAGTTGCCGACCACTTCACTTTTAACAAGTTTATGACATTTAACTAAAATCATGCCACCAGATTCACTAGCAGAAACATTTTTCTTTCTTAAAAAAGTAGAAAAAAATTTGAAGCTGGATGAAAATATTAAAAGTGTTGCGCGTTTCCAAACTGCCAGAATTCGGTACACCTGAGCAAACGTTCGAATATAAAGTTTTTTGCTTTTCCGAGGTAAGGTACGTAGGTTGATAACAAATTGCTGACGCAAAATATCTTTAAACCTCTGAAAGATGTACCATTATCCGTGAGACAGGAAAGAGGTCGAGTTAAAATGATGCCTGCAACTTGTAACAGTACCAATTTTTTGATTCTCGGAATTTTCTGATAAAGATGTGGTGCTGCTAAAAATATGTATACAAAAATATAAACACGAAACTATGTATTTGTCACAAGAATTATCAACATAAGATGAAAACTACTGCAGTTTTATTTTATAAAATTTAAAAAGTACATATGTTTGCACCATGTATTGTCTTCCCAGAGAGTTTTGCTCTACATCGAAATTCGTGCTCTTTTATTTTCAAAGTGTAACAAAAATTTTATGAAGAGAATTCCCGCTACGTTCTCCCAAATATAAACTGGGACGCAAAATTGAAGCAAGTTTTGCCTATTTTTCTTTAGTTTATTTAATATTTATTATTTTTTATGAATATGTAGCTCATTACTTAACAAACAATATATACTACAAACAGATTTCACACTTGTTGTAAAAATTATGAAAATTCTGCAAAATTTCATCAAAACTTGTAACTTTTTAATCTGCTAAAATGACGCCTCCCAGTTTATGTGTATTTGGGGCACTCGCTTAAAACAAAAAACATTGAAATCGGCTCACTATCTGATTGTTTTTCAATTTTATATAACACAGTCCGACATGAAAATGTTCTCAGAGATAAGACTAGCCATTTCTAATAGATTTTGGAGCACTAAATTTGTAAAATTAAAAACTTGTATATTTGAATTTTAATAAAATAAGGCAAAGAGCAAAATCGGCTAAAAACGGCTATTTTTTTTTTTGCAAAACGGCTAAAAAATCGGCTGCCGGCTAAATCGAATTTTTTCCGGCTGTTTGCTGTCGCAACCGGCTAAATCTAGCCGGAAAACGGCTAAAATGGCAACGCTGCGTGGTAAGTTTAACAAATTATAAATTGCTTTTTTAGTTAATTTCACATTTTGTAACATATTACGCCATTATAGGTTTGTTTTTGACGAACAACAAATTTTTATGTTTGCAGACGTTCCTCACATGTTTAAGCTACTACGCAATCACTTCCTCGACCAAGGGTTCATGATAAAAGGCAAAGAAGTGAAGAAAGAAATAATTTCAGAGTTATTGTCATGTACCTCGAAGGATTTGACAATAACTCACAAAATTTCAGCAAACCACATCAACGTAGCTGGACCCCAAAGGCAAAAAGTGAAAACGGCTGCGA